GAAACTTTCCGATCGCACCTCGTATCAAACTGGCCGTTTGTGTGGCGCTGTCCTAGGTTGCAGCGAAGTGGTCAGGACAGGGAAGCGGCCAATGTCCGAGATCAAATATTTTGATATTTTCGCGCGAGTCGCTGCGCTGGCCAGTAAGGCGCATGCGCAAGAAAGCTCTGACCATGCAGTACACAGAAGGTGCATGCGCAGGAAGGCCGTGTGCTTCTATTGCGGTCTCTCACGTAGGACACAAGAAGCGATTCCCCGCTTCATATGACACCCCATGTTGCTTATGCAGCTCAGGTAGCTCGCTTGTTATCGCTTACGTAGGACATTGCCTTAATGTCTGCTCTTCATGCCTGCTTGTGTTTAAGTACATTTACTTAAGATGTTAAGGCTTAAGTTTACAGCATCTGTTGGTTCGCCTGCCTGCCCGCCTCCCCAACCAGTTCCCAGTTCCTTGTAATAGGGGCTGAGGGAGTTTGGCCTAATGCTTACCTATTGGTTTGTCCCTGCAGTAAAGCGGTCACGAACGCGGGAGAATAACCCACTGGAGGGTGGTAGGGAGTCACCTTAGTACTGTGGTATGTTACTTGGAGATTACAGGATGCCTGTTTGTTGCTGGCTGTTACAGGTTATTGTGCTTATATGTCGCTTACTGGCTGTTCATTAAATTGTGTTTCTAACGTGTTCTCATGTGCTGAGTTTGTTGAATTCTGTGTCCGTGTGTTATTTTGTAGCTGTTCACTGATTTACATCATATTTCAGCCTGTTTTTATATTGCATGATAACTTAATTGGATTCTGTTTTTTAGCTAAGATATGTGACATGTTTTGGACTGTGAACCCGTTGTTTCCGTTTTGAAGTTGCGTACTGTGTGGACTGGCCAATGGTAGTTTTTAACGTCTACCCAGGATCATAAAACTTTCTGAAATAGATCAGTGCGTCAGCTCTTTGGCTTTATACTAGATCAATGTTAATTGTCTTCTGTTGCAATAACTTAACTCCTGGATGAAGATTTCTGTCTTCTGGATTGTTGCGCTGTGTAGTCTGGTCGATATTCATCGCCCTGATGTCGGTGGCAGTATGACCTATGAAACGTCGGTTGACATCGACCAGACTACACAGCGCAACAACCCAGAAGAGAGAAATCTTCATACTCACTTCTGCGAAAACCTCAAATCTTACTTAACTCCTGGATGTTTCTTTGTGACTGTTCTTTGAATTCTGTTGCTGTTTGGTGTGTACTGTTTCCTCACTTGCTTGAATTTCGCTGGGTTACAACAAAAGATGCTTAACAGTATACATGGATGGGAAGAATAGTGATTCATAACATTTCTTTCTGTGAATTAATTTTGGTAAGTATTTTCAAAGACATTAAATTGTAATAGATGATGAATATGCCCGCATCTGTGCGTGTTGCGATTTCCGTAAATTTCATCATTGAAGAGTAATTATCATTTCTAAGATATTTTCCGAGTATACTCTTAGTTCTTTGCGCTGATTTCTAAGCTAGCATGTTGTAGAACCTTTCTCCCTTTAGCGCTACTGATATTTCTGAATGCTCTGCTGTAAAGAGTGCCATAGCATGCAACTAAATACTTACCATCTAAGGTCTTGGAATATATGTCACATCTCACATTAAAGGCGTGAAGGCACGTCCGCAGTTACAGTTTTTATTTTTGTCTTTTACTTTGTTCAAGTCACTAGCTTATAATTCTGTCTCATGCTTCTTGCCAGTTTTTTTAATTATATTTTTGACTAATTTCATTAAGCAGAGACCTAGAAAAGCTATCAGTTGATCAGCTAGTCAAATTCTATGCCTTTCATGGACTTCAGGGGTTCGCTAATGCATTCATAAGAGTCTTTTAATTCCAGTGCCCTGTGACATGACAGTTTTATGCTCAAGTTGTGTCTTTAATGGTTAAGGAAACTTATTTCACATTTAATATAATGGAATAGGAATGAATACGTAGTGGTAGTAGTACGTTGTGCTGTGTTTCAGTGCGGAGAACGCTGAAAAATGGCCTTTCTGATGAAGAGAAAAAGCTCCTGTCAGCATACATCAAGGGTTACTGAACCGGAGAACTCTAAGTCTGTGTACAAAGACTGTGATACGCAGCAAATGACTGCTGTCTGTCCGCGCTATACAATTGTTTGGGCGGGTGGCTGTTGTGATATTACTCGTGCAATGAGTGGACTTAAAAGATGCATTCTGCTCTTCGTACGCTGTCGCGCAGAAGCATGATATTCTACCATCGGTGTCTCTTTGAAATCAACACGAAAGAACCTCTGTGTGTGTTGATGACACCACCGTTGCACACTGATGTAAGGTGTGTTCCTAGTCTGTTTCTACCAGTGACTTCTGTATATGCAGAATTAGAATTAATTTCTTATAAGTTAACGTTGTGTTACGTTGTTAAGTATGTGCTCTGTATCATGTATGGTATATATTCTGCATTATGTCCATTGCAAGGAATGCAAAATCTTCAGCTGATACAGTACCACTTTCTGGTATCAGTATTTTAAAGAGCACGACATTCAGGTGTCTGATATTTTTGAGGTTTCGGTTTCGTAGCAAACCAAGCATGATCCTTTTATTGGTTATCTGGTGAATGATAACATCACAAGCACTGAATATTATGTGAATATTAGATGAAATGAAGTGCTTCGTAGACGAGATTTTGTACGTGACGATGACAGCGTTGTTAAGACTTGTAGATAAAATTGTATCTTTGTTTTTATGCTGAAATCATAATTTTGTACAAATGAATATATTAAACTTTGTTTTCCTCAACCCAGAAAGATGATGTATGTAACTTTGCATGCCACGAAGGTCGACTGGTCTAGCACCGATTTCCTGGTGGCCGTCCTAACGCTGCCGCGTTTGGAAGGTATGACGGCTGCAAGTTGAGTATGTCGCTGCTGGTGTGCAGGTGATGTAGGCCTCAATGAGTCATTAAATGCTCTTGAAACAGTTAAATATGTAGTGATTTTACACTCCTTTTCAGTGTTATGTACTTGAAATCCAGTTGCAACTTATTCTTCTTCTTCTATGGCTCTCCAGTCCGTATTCGGTCCATGGCCTCCTCAATTCTCCTCTCCTATTCGGTCCTCTGTTAGGTCTGTCTGTCCGAGGCTTTGATTGAGGTTTCGAAACATCTTCCTTTTTACGGTGCAAGGTTGTCAGCCTTGCGACCAACCCCCAACCTGGAGGACCAGGGTACCTGTCTTAGTCTGACCTCTCCCTCTCGACCAACCCTACCAGTGGCTATGCTACCGCCAGCATAGCTACTGAACATTAATTACCTGAAACTCTGGTAGTAGAATACGAAACTTCTACATCATTAACACGAAAGCCCACCATTGGACAAGGTCCTTAATTTTTAATCTTATCCCTTTGTCTCCTTCTTAGTCTTTCTGAGAGGTTTCCCCACCAAAATGCTGTATGCATTTCTTATCAAGTATTCCAAGCTAAATTTCCAGTTAATCATGACCTTGGTTTCACTATCCCATCCGTACTATGTTTCATGTATGAATCATGAAGTTACTGTCGCTTATTTAACAGCTGCAAAGGTAAAGTTGTCTGTGTAAGCATCGTGTCGTGAACACAGTCTTCATTGAAGAGCTAATTGTCATTCAGCTGGTAAAGAAATTCCTTGCCTTTAATGGACCCCTGGGGTTCACAACCGTGTTCACAAATTTTTTTTTGAGTGTGCGGGACTGATATTCTTGTGCGTTTAAAAAAGTAAGTGTGGAGACGGCTGTTTCCTGAGATGGTCAATGTGTTTTCTAGAAGACTTTCTTGGGATCTATGATAGTGGTTGATTTATTATACCAATGAGATGGTAAAGTTGCGTCATATTGTAATATAATAAATATATATTTAAATCTTGTCCGTCTAATCACAATAAAGTCTTATTAAAATATTACAATAATTAACATTTAAAATATTAAATGATGTTCTTTATCGAAATATTCGATTTACATTAGACCATCATTTTTTCACAACATGTTTCAGTTCCTAAAAGAACTATCTTCAGGTGTATATAATTATATAAAAAGATTCAAATCAATAATAACTTAAATACAATTTCTGAAATACATATATATATATTTATTATACCAGCATTGTGTCAAACATTTTGTACGGTATATTTAATGCACATGACATTTTGTAAAATCTGTAAGACGTATCAATCCTAGGAACTTTTGGCTTCTTGGCTACTAAGCTGGAATGCCCATGGATGTTCCACGTCAGTATCTTGTCTTAACTTTTAAACTCTTGATCGTGTGACGCAGGGGAAGCTGGAGATGTGGGTAGACATTTCCCAGTGGGAGAGCTGCCCCGCTCTCCTCAGGTCGCTATATCCTCCCAAAGCCTCAGGCGTATGAACTTCTACTCATCATCTGGAATACAGAGGATGCGATATTAGAAGAATACAACATCATAACTGGACTGAAGATGTTTAACATCTGCGTAAGAGGTTGGTGTCATAAGTCTCTCCCAAGCAAAAAAATCTGGAGCACTGAACGTAGTATTTGATTGGTTAGATCTTCGTATTCGGGAGGTCCCGGGTTCAAATCTCAGCCAGGACAGGTTTTCGTGAATTTAGTCAGTCACTCCATGCAAATGCTGGGATAGTACTTTAAAAATAGGCCACGACAGCTTCCTTCCGCGTCTGTTCCACATAATTTTTCATTGTAATGGTCCCATTCGATGCATATAGTCTTGAGTTATGAAAAAAACTCGTTGAATAAACGAAATAAATGTGGATCTAAACGTAATAGTAACTGAGATGATAAAGTTGCGTCATATTGTGATAATTATATATTTGTTAAAATATTGTCAGTCTAATCACAATAAAATTCCTATTAAATATTAAAATATTACCATAATTAACATTTAAATTTTAATTATGGTAATATTTTAATATTTAATAGGAATTTTATTGTGATTAGACTGACAATATTTGAACAAATAAACAAATATGTAGTAGTAACTCTTTGTTATTTGATTCATAATAAGAACCAGTCTAGTGTCGGTTTTTTAAGTGGAGTTCAACTCACACGTTGAGATCGGTAAAGTAACATCTGCTTTGAGTCATTATAATTATTAGTGCATAAAATGGGCGCAGAGCTATATCGTGTTTGTTCGTCTGTCCGTCCGCATGTTTAAATTCCGATAGTGTGTGACTGGTATGTTCCTGAATGTCTGCGGAAATAATGTCGAATGCACACGAAAGCAAATCGGTAATAATAATAATAATAATTCATCTTTTATAAATGACTGTTGTAGGTTAATATTCCATATTATAATATGTATACATTTTTTGGACACACTGCGTGTTCAACCCAGCTTCGGCACGTCACAACTGACAGGCACCTCGTGTTTCATAAGTTAATAAAAGTGGACTTCCAGAAGTTATCGTCGGGCAGCCGTAACTCATCGGTCTGTGTCAAATCGAGGAATAAACAGGGATCGTGGCTCTTCACAGGTTGACGGCTAAGGCGAGGACTCCCACAGCACGGACTTCCGCGGAAGGAGCTTAGTGTTCCCGTTAAGTCACGTTGCGCTAGGGGACAGGATTCTAATCTAGAGAAAGCAGTCTCTAATTTCAATCAAGCTCTACACCTTCTCAAAGGATGTCTTCTCGGGTAAGTCTACATCCAAATGCCCTTAAAATTACGTCAATCGCTGTGGTGATGGAGGCAGCATTGACCTCTCAAATGGTGGTAAACTTCTTCCACACTACACGGCGCTACAACTCAACACTACAGTCCACATCACCGCACGTCGTGGACGAGTGGTTAGCACTCCTGCTTCTGCGAATTTATTGCTAAAAAGAAGCTACACTGGCAATTAAACGAGACATTAAATTCCGAAAAACTTTTATATGAATAATTGCTTATTTTTATACAGAAGAATTCTTATTCAAATGTTCGTAGCTTCTGTTTGTAGTACGTTATCCTAATCTTTCGTCCTGACGTTTGAATATTTTTAAAATGCAAGCATATTTCTTTCACGTTAGGGCGCCATGGTATCCAAATGTTTTGAATCTGCTTCCGAACGTTGTTTACCCTAACGGAAAGACCGCAACCATCAGCTGTCATCGCCATAAATTTAGCTGAAGACGCACTAAACCCAAGTGACGAGATTCCATCATATATAAAACTTTCGGCATACAGATTAACAGTTCCATTTGTTTTTCGTTTTGTAAGAGCACGTGGGCTTCACACAGAGTTGATTCAAACTAGAGAGCGTCTTGATGCCGAAACGTCTTACAGCCGAAGCTTCCAGATGTGCGAGTGTTTCAATGCTTATGTTGGCAGGCGGCCAAATCTGTCCACCCTGCGATCGTCAAGATTTTGTGTACTTTGGACGCTGATCAGAATTTTAATTACCCTCCAGGTCCCAAACGTTTTTATGCGACTCAGATTCACCTATTTGACTCGTAATCATGTAATGTATTCAAGGTTTATTATTATTATTATTAAGTGTTCTGTCTTACGACAGGTCCATTGCTCTGCCCAAAAAGAGCTCTCCAGTTGTCCCTATTCTCGGCTTCTCGCTTTAATTCCTGGAACGTCATCTTCTTTCCTTGTTTAAGATCGTCTATTATTATTGAGTGTTCTGTCTTACGACAGGTCCATTGCTCTGCCCAAACAGAGCTCTCCCGTTGTCCTTATTCTCGGCTTCTCGCTTTAATTCCTGGAACGTCATCTTCTTTCCTTGTTTAAGGTCGTCGGTTAGCTGTATCAATCTTCTTCCTAGTCCTCTCTTTCCTTCAACCTGGCCTTCGGTGATATCACTCATTAATCCATTCCTTCTCATAATATGTCCCTGCCAGTTAGCTTTCCTTCGTGTAATCGCCTGCAGAATGCTTCTTTGCTCGTTGACTCTCCTCAATACTTCTTCGTTGGTCACTCGATCCGTCCACCTGATCTTCTCTATTCTTCTCCAACACCACATTTCGAAACTCTCCAGGTATTTCTGTTCCTTCTTCCTGAGTGTCCAAGTCTCTGCTCCATACAGCGCGACACTCCATATGTAACACTTCACTAGTTTCTTCTTCATCTCCAAGCCCAACTTGCTAGTGAGAAGTATCCTCTTCTTGACGAAAGCTGCCTTGGCCATGGCTATCCTTGCTTTTACTTCCTTGGTGCATAGGGCGTCCGTCGTGATTATGCTTCCCACGTACTTGAAATGCTCCACATTCTCCATCTGTTGGTTTCCAATTACAATGTTCAATGGTTCTGCTCTCGGTGCTATCCTCATTACCTTTGATTTTTCAATGTTGATTTCCATTCCATACTCTCTACCTGTTTCCACTAACTTGTCCATCATGTTCTGTAATTCCTCCTCTTCCTTCGCCAATACTACTAAGTCGTCTGCATACTTTACATACATACTTTCAAGGTTTATTTTACAATAATTTATTATTTATGTAAGTAACAAGATCAGTAGTGAATCCTCGACTACAAGAAGTCAGGTCGCATGGAAATTCTATATTATTAACTCCCCTCCTAACAGCTGCATCCAAATTCTAAAGGATGTGTTGCGTTATTAATTAAACATTTTATTTATACTATATATAATTTTAGTGGTCTGGTGGCGTATTGCTAATCAGACAGGAGCAGAGTTAATCGACTAAGTTATTTTCATTTTGAAACGAAAACACGGGATTCACGTGGTCGCTATGTTTTTATATTTATTATACTAAATTCTACTCTACTGTTTTTAAATTACACATTCATACGAGACAAATTTTATGATATGAACTAGATCACATTGATTCAGAATATGGCATAATTACGAGATTTTATACCCATATAAATGTAAATAGTATTAAAATTGGCCGTCAATCACAATATAAGATAATTAAAAGATTAAAACATCATTTTACGTTCCGTATCGAGTACTCGATTTACATGTAGAACATTTTACGACATGTTTCGGCTATATATAGCCATCATCAGGTG